TTTTTTTAAATGTGGAACCCAGCAGGACCAGCGCACTTTGCTGCACCACTAATGGGATCGTAAGAAATGAGCAAGTACGAGTTGTTCAGACTCAGTTCATGTAAACATCCTACACTCAGCTGTAATCGGTTGCAGCAGAGGCTGAGAGAAGGTTGTTTACTTGAACTATCTGGAAGTGACACTTTGACATAAAGTGAGATGAACAAAATGATTCTGCATTAGGATCTTACATCTCAGGTTTATTAAACATTTACATGAAAAGAAAATTAAATTGATGCACGTATTAATAAAACATCTGTCGGTCACAATCCTCTAATACCAGTTAAAAACACATGTATGGTTTCGGCCTTATGACGCATTGAGGCATCACATAGACTTAATTATATAACTGATGATTAACTTTTTATTGAGTTAATAATGCTACATGATTCAGTGCTTAAATAATGGATGTTATAATGAAGATAATGAGTAGCTGTTGTCCTTTACCATTATAAACAGGATGCTAATGAAAAGAGTAAATGTGACAAAATATTGACTGTGCTTATTTACTGGTGTCCTTGGTGTTTTTGCATTATGTTTTCACTTCCAGTCAACACAAAATAAAAGATACAGATTTTGTTTGTTCGTGTGATTGTTTGGTGTTTTTTTACTTGGTCTGTAATCATATGATCACAGTGTTTTTTATGTTCAAACTGGTTGAACATCATTGAACCTATAAGGAGATCAAATTAAATTTGGGGATGTCATTGAAATGGTTTTGTAAAACATTAAGGGTCAGGGTTATTACAAATAGACTAGCTAATGATGAAGGTCTAATGAAGGTTGGGTACAGTAAGTTATATTTCAGTTCTGGTAGCTTTCCTCTTACTGCTTCATGTCAAATTCTCAAATGGAGTTCTATAAATAGAGGCCCTCGTAGAGCCTGACAGAGCAGTCTAATTTCTGGATTCAGCCATTTATCAGCGAGCGAAGTAGGTAGCTTAATGGAAAAGAAGACACTAATGTGTGTTTTTCACCAGCGCACCGCTAAAATGGCTGTAATCAAGACTCAGTCATAGTGTTGCAGTCTTGGCAAAATGGAAACATCGAAGGCCTTGTAAAATAAAATACTGTATACTATTGTTAATGCTGAATGAAGTGTATTGAAAATGTTAATAAAACTGACACTGGTCATCCATACGGTTTCTTTGTATCCTCAAGGAGCCTTCAGACATTCAATGTAACACCTCAAAATGAGAGAATAAAGCACCATCATAAGGTTATTTCCATTAGAAACCTTAAAAACAATAATTTACGACTATACTTTGAAAAAAATAAAAGTTGTTGGGATAAATAACAATGTGTATTTAAATATAATGTTATGAAAATCTAAATGTATTCACTTTCTGTATCATAAAATAATCAGTGGGCTTCTTGGGGAATGTTATAAATGTGAATAGACAGTATTTCTAACATGGATCTTTAAACCAGAGGTCATACTACACTTTCACCACTAGATGTCAGACTTGCTCTTTTTGCTCAGAAACAACAGGCATTGGTGAATGCACCTAAATGCTTTAAAAATATGATAAATATAGGCAAATATAAACATTTAAATGTCGCTCCGTTTTTATTTTCAATCCTGATTAGTGGAATTTTTTTATTGAGAGTTGAAAATTAAAAACTATTATAATGCAAAGGTTTTTTGTTGAGCAGTCTTAACTTAAGCATAATGACAAAAGTCAATAAAGCACTGTGTCTAAACAGACCTGCTTTTTTAAACTATGCATCTCTTACAGCAGCCTGACAACCGCTGATCAAGAGATAATTAACGGAGAGAATGATATAAACTGTACAGCTCACTACTGAAAGCATTAACATAACGCTCGTTTGAGCCAGTTTTTAAGCTGGTTTTGAAACATAATGGAATTGCTCTGATGTCTCCTGACAGCTATAGACGTACATGAGCAAATAAGTTAAGGAAAAAGATGATCACCATATACCGTAGTGCTTTTCACTGGGCATGTGTCAGACGAAGTGAATAAATGTGTGCATGATGTAGAAAAAAAATCTTTCACATATTTCACACTAAATAATACGACGGAGGATTAGGGCCATGTTAAAAAAACACTTTTAAGGGGAATTAATGGGCACTTTTTTAATTTTGAGATTAAACTCGTAAATTTACGAGAATAATCTGATAAATGAACGAGTTCGAGACCAGCCTGCGCAAAATGATGAAAGCAGAACTCTTAAAAGTATTTTCCACTGCAGACAACTTCCTCCAAGTCAGTGTGGTTCTTTCTTCGGAAAAGCCCACAGTTTCTTGCAGTATCTTTTCAGGGTGCTGATATTTTAAAGACAATGTGAAGATGATGATGTGCCAAAAGCATGTGTAGTTTCATATCTACATAAGTAAAGCCCCATCACAACTATTTGTGTCTGTTATCGGTCTGCCTTGTTAAAGTGTCTCATGTGCAGAGCCAGTTTGTGTCCCGTTCATCATTTTACAGATAAACAAGGTCTTGCAAGTTGAAGTGAAAACTTCTCTTGAACTAACTGTTTTTACCGACTACACAAGAAAGTAGCCTATTTCATTATTAGTGAAACCTTTAGGACAAGATGCTCCATGTTTGTCATTTGAGAACAGGATGCTGCTGCTCTTCTGATATAGACTCAAATAAAGACTTTAACAGTTCTACTATCATCATTTTTGTGCAGGCTGGTCTCGAACTCGTTAATTTACGAGATTAAACCATCGACTGTAAAAATGATTAAACCCGTAAATTTACGGGTTTAATCTTGAGATTTAAAAAAATATATATTTTTTTTAACATAGCCCTAATCCTCTATCGTAAAATACCACCCAACACTTAGCCTATACATTTTACTGTGAAAAGAAATTTGATAAAATCAATATAGTATTTACACATTTACAGGGCCAAGTCAGCATAAATACAAGAGGTAGGCCTACTTCTTTGTCTATAGGGGGCGCCAAAGTCAACACAAAGCGAAAGTTCCTCAGGAGTTTTGGAGACATTTCTGCTGTCCTGTTCTTACAAAAATAATAAATAAACACATCTATTTGATTATTGTTTATTTAACAGTTATACTTATAGGCTACCCTAATGAATAGGCCTACAAAAATCAGAGTATTTCCATTTCCTGAATTTTGGCCTTTTTCTCTAAGCTCTTGTACTTTATTATTATAAAACCTAGTGCGGGTCAGGACCCCCTGGTTGATAACGTGATTTAAACATCATCACAGAATGGCCTTACCATCAGGTCAAATAAAACTATATTTGATTTTTTTCCTTGAGGGAAAAAATATGTGCTTCAGTAAAATCAGTGATATCACACACTATCCGACACACAAGGCGAATATACAAAATTTAGGAACTATGGGACAACTATTTAACATTATTATTAGTGGAAATGGAAACAATACATACCGTTTTGCACTGAACGCAAAGCATGGCAGATTTTGCAAGAGGACCTACAGCGATACATGTAGTAATGGAACTTTTTTTTCTTCAACTGTGGAAATAGAATATTTGTAGTTTGCATAATCCTGTTGAAATTTATATAGGCTTACTGTACACTTTTTCGAGCGACAGCATGCAAGAGAAACGATACAATTAAAGACAATAGTCGGTTATCGTTTGAAAGGAAAACACTCCACCTTAAAAATATTTATACACGGCAGTGAAAGCTTACAATCCCTAATCTAGCTGATGTTATCTTTAACCATCGCAGTATTGGCCAGAATGATGTATTTTCTATTTTTATATTATTTGCTATTGGTTAATAAAACTCATAAACAAGGTTTGAAACTAGATGAAGAAGAAAGGGTGCTATCAGTCTGATGGTATTCCACTTTTTTTTAACAGCTGTTTAGCCAGATAAATAAGTGTTCTAAATAGGAGTAATGCTGCGCAGACCATGACCTTTCATGCAACACAATATTTACTTTAAGGTTGTAGGTCTATGAAACATGGGCTTTCATCTCCAGTCAAAGTAGCCATGTAAGCGGCTCTTATCGTTGGCAATGCAAACAGATGATAATATTTCTTTCTGTTGGTTTGTAGTGCAGAGATGGATGGCTTGTTCTGATAAAGCATATGCAAACATAGACATATGTCTAAGTCCGCTTATCTGCTCTTGTTAGTATTACAATTTGTGAAACAAAGGTCTGCATGTTCTGCAAATTGAAGCCTCTAAATTAAAATGACCTTTCTAAAATACTTTTTTTAACAGCTTTTCTTCAGACATTGAAAAAAGAGAATAAGGGACGGGCATCAGGGATAGGAAAAGTAGATGACTGTTTGCTTTAAAGTGTGTAATTCTCATAATATAGTAGAATTTAAAAGGCATGTGCCTTTTTTTTTTTTTTTACTCTGTGTCTTTTTATAATATGAATAAAGTTGGGCAATGTTGGTGCTTTGGTTTGTGCACACGGCCCATGTACGGAGGCTCCGGTCCTCAGGGCAAGGCGGCTCCGGTTAGGGTGCAACATCTGGCTACTTTCCAACATGTCATTCCCATAGAGTAGAATGTAAATATTAGTGGATGAAGCCTGAGTGACTTCAGCCATCTGTTATGGCAGGAGGCTCTGGAGGCTTATCAGCAGCCGCCAAAGTCAACAAAATCCATGTCAACATGAGGTAAACACTGCTCCAACAACATTACAGCTGGCGACACTCACTCAGGCTTCTCACTCATTGTAGACAGTCATGAGTCAGAGAGACAGTAACACAGGATATACTCGATTTCTCCTTCTTTGATCATGTATTTCTCCTATATTTACAGTAATACAGTCAAATCCTAACAATCTAAAATAGATCAGTAAATGAAAGAAAACGTGTAAAGTGTAATTTCCCATTGAGTGCTCTATCCCAGATTCATATCTTTTTTGCTTTTCTCTCTCCCTCTTGTAAGAGAATTATGCTTACAATTTCACTTCTTTTCATCAACACAGGCACACGCATGTACTCACACAAGAAAATACTTAATCCTTTGTATTGTATATTGTATCAAATATCATTTTATTTAATTTCACAATTTCATTCAGTACCATAACCTACCTTTCCTACATTCATATAAAGCCTTCATGAATAATATTCTGTGACACTTACATATTACTGTAATAAGACAACACAAGTTTCAAAAGTGGACGATTGCAATGGTCCTTGCCATCTTCAAACAGAGTCTCCTTCTAACAGATCTCACAAACAACATTATGGTTCACATAATAATAATAAAATAAAATAAAAAATAGTAACAAAGGCCAAAAATAAATAAATAGGTAAAGCCATTGCTAATGCAAGTGTTCAATACAAACATTTCTGAAGGTAACTTAGCTTCAGGAGTGAATTTGCAAGTTACAGCAGGATTCACTCCTCTTTCTTATATACACGTTGGTCATGAGAAAAAAGGGGGATAGTAGTCTTCTGTTTTACGTCATGTCAAGGAGCTTTGTATGTCCTCAAAGAACGATCGTGAATATTTGTTCTTTCTGCATTGTCCTGTTCCCCAGTTTTAGATATTAGATAAGATAAGATATTTTATCACGTAAGCATAACCGAATAAACATAAGGGGCGTGCATCGGAAGCATCAAGACTAACTGGATTCTTCAGAGGATTTCACTGGCCCATGCACACAGTGTTTAATATATCCTATTGCCACGCACAAATTAATCACTGCTCTTCGTTTCAGACACTGTAATACCAGTTTTGCTTGATTTTTCAGCTTATGAAACATTTCCAGTTATAACATGCAGCATGGTTTGTCAGGAGGACAGGGGGGCCTATCTAAATTCATTATCCACATGTAAAAAGTGGACAATGGCCTAATTCTCAAAAGGATTGCACAGTTTTGGCTCCTGCTTAACCTGTGCTAAAAAAAAATAAAAAGACATGGTCTAACTCACAAAGCACATGTAAAAGGTTAACAGTATTTATGAAGGATGTCATGCTCAAACCATCCATTGATCGGGACAACAATACCCCTTCTGGGTGCCCTATAAATAAATGATCCATCAATAAACTAATGGTCTGATCAGCAGCTGCAATCCATTCCATGTGAATTCACCATTATGTGTATTGATGGAAAGGAGCAAACTGTTCAACACGATGGGAATATTCAAAACTAGAGGGGAAATTTAAAATGGGGAGCACACTCATCTGCTGAAGGAATAACGACGAAAATGCCGGAGCGCTGATCCACTTCAATTTTTTTTTTTCAATTCTATTCTCGAGGCTCTTCATGCCTTCGATGCTGTCCATGTTAATACGCTCAACAAAGACAGAAAGAGACCAAGAAAAAAAAAGATAATCAAATTAAGCTCCTTTAAACATGTGTATTTTCTTGTTCTGTGCTAGCTGCAAAATCATCTCGTATTCAGCATTTCCTGGATGAGGTCCAGTTTTGAAGTTTTTGTTTTGAAGTATTTCATAGTAATGATTCCAGTTTCCATCTTTGTCCGCTCCAAATCCAAACACATTGACCTGGGGACACACAAATATATCATAACTAAAAATTAATTTCTTCTGTAATTATTTGTGTATAACTAGACATAGACTTTTAACAGGCTTGCAAGTAAAGGCTCACTGCTACTATTGAAGTAACCTGTAAAGTCATGAAGTTTGTGTCATTAGAATGTGCAACTTTGCATCTACAACTGATGCAGTAGATGTCGCCCTTGAGCACCAGTATGAAACCCCAAAAAAATGCTGTTTGGCTACACCTCCACCACACTGAATCCTCCGCTCTCGTCCAGCGACACACCTCCAACCCCTTTCCCCTCACGTAGGCACAAAGGATTTTCAAAGGTTAACAAATTGGAACGCACCATGATTATGTGATTATCACAAGCGGCAGACAAAATTGTCCTTGTCTCGAGCTGCATTGTTGTGTTAGCGGGCTAATGGTAGCGCTCTTTAGTTGCGCATTCTGCGTCACACATTCTGCCTTTAAAGTTCAATTGATACAACATTGAGAAAACAATGATACTGAAAGATGGAAAGAATGAATAGGTCACCTCCTGGATCTGAAGTCATTTTACAGTACTCAAAACTGTCTATTTTGTTTTCACACATGCATAAAACTTCTACAAGTTTCTTGAAATCTTCCCATGGGCTGCATGTTTGAAGAGAAAATGGCCAAATTCTTCACCACAACTTAAACCTGACGTTTGCTCCAGCCTGCCTTTCGTAAAAGCTCCAAGTGGTGAGCTGATGTGTGAACACAGCCAGAAATATTCATGGCAAAAATTCCCCCTAATCGAAGGCACGACCTGTGCGACCTCCATGTACGTGATGAAGCTGCGTCATAGTCTTTTCTAATTGCCAGTATGTTTTCCCCCAACTTGTTCATTGATACTTTGAGACAATAAACAAAGGCAAAAGACATTTAAATAGTCGTGTCATGCTTCTTTTTTTTTTTTTGTCCAGTATTGGATTTCTGCAGCGCGTTTTTAATGTCATGTCTTGCCTCCTAATATGTGAATAAGCAACTTAGTAAGACATCAGGGGCAGGTTGTCCAGAAATGTTTTAGATGCTGATTAGAAGAGTAGAGCCCTTCAAAGGAAAGTTACTGTTTGGCATTGACTTTGATTGCTGGCATAAAGGTATCACTGTAAGCATCTCTACTTATATTTGAGACAACAGTTTTGACTTTTACCACTTGAAGCCACTAACAGGTTATCTTTGATTTACATTGATGCACACTCAAACCGTGCCCAAGGACGTTTGACCCCCAAAGTCCAGTTTGTTTGACTAGTGGGGATGCTCTGTACCGTGCTCAGGCACAGTAAACTCCCTTAGGCCTTAAACAGTTAGATACACATCTGTTGTGCATACAAGCACAAGAAATCCAAGAGTGTGAGATTAATTATTAACAAATTATTAACAATTAACAAAAATGCAACACGTTTAAAAAAAAATGCATAATTTTAAACTTGCAGTTTTTATATGTCCTGTAGATTCACAACATAGTGTTTCATTACAGCTGCACTCTCACTGGAGAAGCACATAATTAGTGTTGTTTGATTCAAACCTACCTCATCACAAATATGCAGGCTGAGAATCAAAGTCATAAAGCCGGTAGAAGGGTACCTTCCCTTTTTATGCAGCCATAGATCATACGTATATTTCATAAAAGCTGGATTGAAGACCATCACCTGTAATAAATCAAAGTGTCCCACTATAGGCATCAATTTGATTGGCAGTGAATGTACAACGCTACAAATGTATTGTTGGATGACTATCTATATGACAGTATGATGCAAAATAATTGAAAAATTCTCACCAAATCCTTGTTCGCTATCTTTTTCGCGTTTCCCCTGATGGAGGCAACATAAATTATTACATTTAGGAAAGAATAAACTGGTAACCTATTGCTTAAAATAGTCCATCAGATTAAGATTGTTAGAGGAAATCTATACATATAATACAAAAATTATCATTTAAAAAAAAAAGTATCATTCATGACATTTATTTGCTTCTTACATTTCTGCACATCTCAAATTCCTCCTTTTGTGGTCAGGAAGAAATCTGACTACTCAAAGTGCTTTTACACCGCAGGTCACACCTACTCATTCACACACTGATGGTAGAGGCTGCTTTGTAAAATATCGATTCTGTAAAGCATCAGATTGAACTAATCCCATTCATCCACATTCGTAGGCCGCAGACGAAGCCACTTTGGGTTAAGTGTTTTGCCCAAGCACACATCAGAAATGTAGCTGCGATCTCGGGATCGAACCCCCCGACCTTCTGGTAGAGAAACAACCACTGATCCACAACCGTATATTAAATTCTCCAGCTCCAGCAATATGTCTTCATAATACACGGCTCGTGTTGTTTATTCAAGGTGGTTTTCATCGTACAGATTAGAGTTTAGACTTACTCTGTTTGCAAAGCTTTGAGGAGCCACTCCAAATCCTTTATCTTGAATAGAAAATGCACAAGATGAGTGGTGTTGTCCAAGTTGATCGCACTTTCCGGATACATGACATGATGAGTTGTTTTGGTCCCAACATCTTCCTCATAGCCTTTGGTACGGCCTCTGTTCATTCTAAATGAAACAGAAATACATATTTAATATCATGGGCACTACGCTTTTTTTTTTTTAAAGGTTCTGTTATCTTTAAGTCTGATGATTTACCTTATTACAATATCATGGAAGTCTATAAGACCGCCATAATGTGATCCCTTCAAATTACCAGAGTTCCCCACCACGGCACAAGACCTGCAACGCTCAGGACTGGCTTCTACAACTGCTGGAGGCGGGATGATGTCAAACAACTTGTCCAATAACGTATTCAAGTATTCTTTGCTGCGACTTTCATACTGTATGCCCTGAAAAATATGAGAGATGAATAAATGATAATTATAAGTTCAGACCTTTATTGTCCCCGCAAGGGAAATTTGATTTACATCAGTGGATAAAAAAAAAACAACAACATATAATATAAGATATTTGTTAAAAAAGTCAACTGGAATGGTCGCAATATCAATAAAGTGCAATAGTGTTTTGGTAGACAGAGCAATGAGGTGCAGAAAGACCCACGTTTGCTAAATGTTGCTAAGTGCTGCTTTCATGATGGATTAACGCTGGGTCTTTGTAATGAAGCAATGAGTAATGTAACATAAATGGTAAATGGACTTGAGCTTATATAGCGCTTTTCTATTCTTCTGACTCCTCAAAGCGCTTTCACACCGCAGGTCACACCTACACATTCACACCTGATGGTAGAGGCTGCTCTGTAAAGACCTTCAGAAGTAACTTATCACATTTGCATACGCCGCTGACGAAGCAGCGGGAGTAATTCAGGGTTAAGTGTCTTGCCCAAGGACACATCGGACATATTGCTGCAGGAGCTGGGGATGGAACCCACAACCTTCCAGGTTGAGAGACGACCGACTCTAACTGAGCCCCAAAACAATAAGGAAGTTCATTAACCTACGTTTTGTAAAGTGTCTTGAGATAACACTTGTTATGAATTGGCACGTTAAAAATAAAGACTGAATGATGGATTTTTTGATAGTGCTGCTGTAAAGTGCAGTCAATGTTTACAGAAGATAGTGCAACATTTGCACTAGGAACAAACAAAAAATTTTCTTTTTTTTTCATCCTATTTTTAAATCAATGTAAATGTCTGACTTAGTCTAAGTAAGGGGAAGCAGGAGTAAGAGTAAGAACTGAACCCAACATTACATTTCAGGACATTAACTGATAGATAGAATCACTAAAGGTTTATTATTAGATTTCTTAAAAACATTTTTAGCCAACTGTTGCTCCATCCTAACTGAAAGACGATAACCAGTATAGCCAGCTGTAGTCTTGTCTACATAATGTGCGTTCAGTTTGACACAAGAGGAAGTAGGATAGTTATGTGTTGAAATTACGTTGGGAAACAGAAATAGCCGCATTTATTAATGTATTTTTTTAATCAGGGACACTCAGAGTGAAACAGAATAGTGGTGCAGTTTCTTTAAAAAAGGTGTGTTGACATTTACCTTCCACCAGTTGAAAGCATCCTTTGCAATTATATAGTTTCTTGATAAAAAAGGCACAGGAGCGGCATCGAGAAACGTCTGGAACCCAGGATCTTTATCTGTTAAACATTTTTTACATGCACAATTGTGCCGAGGTATGTAGGAATGTAAATTTAACTTAGTTGAGTACATGGACAGCACAACTAAGGCACAAATACACAAAAGGTATATAACACGCTTTAGATGTTGTTGATTAAATGTGGAGAGCATCTTGGCAGAATGAAGCTCTTGTAGAACAGAGGCAATCTGTGGGTACAATGAGAAAATAAAGCAAAAGAAAAAGTGAGCTCATTAATCATTTGAGGACCATAGGTTATCAGAGGACGCAAGTGATAACACCGCCTGCTGTAAAATGCTCCTGATATTTAGGATGCCACACCTACGTCCTTGCAGCTAGTGGCCAAACAAAACCAAAATGACGTCATCAGGAACAGAATACAAAACATTGCCCTGAATATTTTCCGATCTGGTCAGACAGGTTAGTTAGACAATTGCAAAAATAATAAAATAAAATAAAAAGCAGAGGATACCTAACACCTGCTGGCTTTCACAACTACTTTTCAAATAATGATATCAAGCTTGTGGTGATTGGACATTTTTGTGTATTTTTCCTGGTCTGCTTTTTGGTTTGGTGCTTGTGTTTTTTTCTTTCAGAGGCTGGGTGTGGCTTATTTGCTGCTGGAGCTCTCTCACCGGCTGCAGCATTTAGATCCTGGTTCACCTCTCCCAAACTGCGTGTTTATTTTTGCCTACACCGTGGTAGATTGGCTTTTCAGAATCAATAAGACTTTTTGTGCTTTGGAATTACCTGTCACTAATTATCCCTCGTCTTCTTTTTTCCCTTGTGCCTCCAACCATCGAGCTCCAGCGCCTCACCACCCAGCCTCTCATTCAAGCCTCACCAACCTCACTTCAATAAATACCCCTTTTACCCACCACCCTGTTTTCCGGTCTGGCTTTTGGGTCTACTTGAAAAAGATCATAACAAAACTTCTACAGTGGATATTGGAGAACATCAGAGATCAATGTTTGTATAATTGACACATTCACAGTTAACAAGTTAAAAGAGAATGAATCAGGAGTGGTGTTAGACGGCACGGAGGATATTTAGTGTTGGTGCTTTGAGCTTAAAAGCCAAAATATCGACTTAAACATAATAATTCAAAGAAGCTACAAATATGAAACAATGTTATTTTCCCTAAATGAATAACTTTAGTATTCTTATTATTTGTGGTTTCTACTGTAAGAATGTCAAATAATGAAGAAATATAATTCCACAACTTAATGAGCCCTTTGTTATTTACTTAGCTAAAAACAGACATACAAACCAGCAATCACAGCAGACATACAGTAAGATAAGCAGCGACATGGATGCATTAAAACAAACAGTAAAGCAGACATAGACAAGCAGATTGATGATGATGACTAAAAATAAGACCTGAACATCGCATTTTTATCATTAGAAATATGTCAAGACCAAAATAATAGAAATAACAATATTATTTCTGGCACCAGCAAACGGACACAGAGTTAGGACTTTTTTTAGAACGTTTTTTTTCCAATTTTAAACAAGATCGTTGGATAACTATATTTAACTACATACCAGGTTAACCATATACAACACCAACACAAGTTAGAATTATAAATCTATAAATAATGTTTTCTCTTACCTGAAAGTGAACAGTCAAACGGAACGGTCGAGACAAAACTAACACGGACAATGATGACTGTGTGAAACATTAACGATGATAACAGCTGAGGTGAAAAGCAGGTTGAACTCCTACCCAGAGAAGCCTGGCAGCTTGCCAATGCATTACAGAGGCATCAAATAACATCTTTTTTTTTTCTTTTTTATTAGTCTCTGAATAAGGAAGGCTTTGTTGTAACATGTCAACACAAAGCAAAACATGTAATAACAAAGCAAACATTTTGCACTTTGAGTTCAGTCTAAGCATGCCTTATATATAAAGATCTTATAGTGTTTCAAAAACAAGTTACAAGGCGCTTTTTAATTACATTTTTATGATGTACCAACCTCTTGGTGTGGTACAATATTTTTTTATGGGATGCCTGTGGCATCATAATCACCTCTGCCAGAACAATAAGCAGAGTGATCTTGTTCAAGTTTGAGGGAGGCATCTGTAACACTCATTAATAATTCTCTTTGTAAGTAAGATTACGGAACGTGTTATTTCGGGGCCAGATAAAATGGTGAAATAAATCCAAAGACAAAGGTTATTTGTCGCAGATATCATTTTAATACTACTAGAATAACATCTAGAATGTTAGTAATAAAACATTTACCATAACAAATTGCATATATATTGATAATGTGAGAAGGTTTGCACAGATAGATATACTGCATAATCATGTTCTTAGTTGGTTATATCGAGCAATCACATTTTAATTCAACTCTGTTCTTCACATTATTAAGAGTGAATTCACAATCTACTTTCATATCTCAAAAAATGGTGGAGTAAAACTTAGAAACCCCCCAAAAAAATGATATAAATTATCCAGGTCCAGGCACTCAGGATGGTTTGAAAATTATAAAAAGCCTTTGATTCATAGGGTGGTTAGAAACATGTAAAATACACCCCGCCTTCTTCAGGGTGTAGTGACACGCTGAGACAACAGAGTTATATTTGCTGCAGTCACCACAGGTGTACACAGGTGAAGGCGTATGACTATATACACTTGTTCTGGCTTATAGGTACATTACATCATAAATACACCAGATACAAGTCAAAATATCAACCCTCATAGGAGCCAACATTAAAAAAACTGCATTCAAGTGAATCACATGATGTCAATAAAAACAATATAATGAAACAGCAAATCATAACTAAATATTCAGTGTAAAAAAGCTGAGAGGTTTTTTAACAGACTCACTCCAGACTGCGCAAGATAGTATGATGTATGCAGTATAAAACTCTATATAAACCTCATAAACACATTAACAAACACACAAACGGTCATTTTTGAGTGTTTTGTTCTGAAAATAAACCGGATGTTTTTAAGATTTATTTTTGGCCCTTTTGTGCCTTTAATGGAGAGATAGGACAGTGAATAGAGTTGGAAATCAGGGAGAGAGAGTAAGGAATAACATGCGGGAAAGGAGCCACAGGCGGGATTTGAACCTGGGCCGCCCGCTTGGAAGACTACAGCCTCCATACATGGGGTGCGCGCACTAACAACTGCGCCACCAGCGCCCCATAAACCAGATGTTTTAATGTTGTTTCGGTGTCTGACTTCCCGTCCCGCTTGTTCTTTTTTGTGCAAAATTGATGCGTCAGGCTCTGGCATCCGGCAAAAATTGAAGCTTTGCGTATCTGCTGCGGAGGGCAGAGGACTGCCGGAGCTGAGATGCAGCACAGCGTACCCAGTAGTCAATAAAGGAGCTGCAGAATTATCCTGATCAATTCCAGATGTATTTCTGGATTTCAGTGATCCAGATTGATACGCTGCTCTCTGTAACCACACATTAAAAAGAACACAACAAATTAAAGCGAAGCATAATGATCCTGAACAGCAGCTGGCAGTATGTATGAGGCACAGACAGCCACGCACACACACAAACAGGGTTGGATGCGAAAAAACGCAAAAAGCGAACCTGTTCCGAAAGAAATAATGACCGACAAAAGTGTCAAACTGTCATTATCATCAGTGTGCAAACATGATTGACATAACATGGGATCATATTTCTTTTTTAACGTGCGTCAATTTTGGACAAAAAAGACTCAGTGTGCAGTGGCCTTTGGACTGGTTCTCTTCATATTTATCTGACAGATCATTCTCAGTTACTGTTGGTAAACATGCTTTGTCTGTAGAAACCCTATCTTGATGTGTTCCCCAAGGGTCTGTTATGGGCCCTCTGTTGTTTTTGTTGTATCTGCTCCCTCTGGGGCATCTTATAAGAACTTTTAAAGATGTGTCCTATCATTGTTATGCAGATGATATTCATTTGTACATGTATTTTAAACCCCAAAATGTTCTCTAAGTTGTCTGTTTTGCTTGACTGTGTGAACTGCATAAATTTTGATAAATTTTCTCCAGTTGAACACTGATAGTGGGATAGTTTCTCATAGATAGGTTCTCATCTCTGCTCCTGATCATGTTGTTCTAGAGGTGAAGAAATGTCTTGGTTTTCTTTCCTCTACTTTTTAACCTGCCCTGTGTAATTTGGGGGTCCAAATGAGTCTAGACCAGCATGTGAACAGTTAGGTCTGCTCCTCCTTTTATCATTGAAGGAATATAGCTCAGACCTGTTGTGTCCAGATCTGAGCTAGAGATGATTGTTCATGCTTCTGTTTCATCAAGGCCGGATTATTGTAATTCTTTGTTTACATGTCTTAGTGTCACTTCTGTGAACCGTTTACAAGTGGTCCAAACTGCTGCTGCTAAGCTGTTGAGGAGATCCTCTCGACGGTCTCTCGTGACATCTATCCTTAAGTCTTTACACTGGCTCCCCATCAGTTTCAGAATCCAGTTTAAAGTTCTAATTATTGTGTTTCGAGCCTTGCATGGTCAAGCTCCAGTTTATGTTACTGAGCTGTTGAGGCATTTTAACACCAGCTTGCTTACGTAGAAACCATTAGACCTTGTGGTTTTTCCATTTTCAGGCCATTTAGCAGGAGATGGATAGAAGATTTTCAAGCAGACCGATGGCAAGCAACCCTTCACTATTGAAGACCCCCCCCCCCCCCCCCCCCCAAAACCAATGGAAAAGGCTGCATCTGTATATAGCTTAATAGCAGATTAAGATTCAAGATTGTCATTACAGAAGCATGAAATGCCATTCCATTTATTGCACAGAAGGGACCAGAATCAGATCTCGGCTCTGCAGCCTGCATCAATTTTAACCACATCCTGGAGTTTCTCAACAGTTTTTGCAAGGCCTAGGAGTAAGGATATAAAGGAGTGGCCCTGCGGAATAACACCCATAGGAAAATTAAGATGGCCGAGCAAAGAAAGTAATTCCCTTTTTTGACATAACTGCTGCTTCTTGCACTTTATTCATGATTTCTCAAATGCAATTTAATCTCTCAAGAGTAGGGAGGCTTGCATTAGGTTGCGGTCTAAAGTAATTCCTAGAAACTGTAAAGACTGAAGTGACCTACTGTTTCTCTTCAGACAGAGGAATACCTAATCTCATAAAGTTTGTTTGAGAGAAGTGATACGTCAACCTTTTTTGGATTGGAAGGCAGAAGATGGAGTGGACTCGAGGGCCTGGATTCTGGAGTTAATGCTGGTGAGTGACGACTGGACACTGGCTAAAGCTGACAGGGCTGGATTCTCTTCAGGATTGGTGAAGCTGGAGCTGGTAATGGGAACGAGCCCTCTTGGAAGGCAGAGGGCCAACTGGAGATGGGACGGCAGCAGAGTTGCAGTTGCATTGCTTCCTTTCCACGGGGACTTTCTTGCTTTTCAAACGAGAGCTCCGGCGAATGGAAGCTGGGCTCTCTTCTTCTAATAACACAAAATACACATGACAGTTCTACTAATTTCATCCGTTTCATAGTTCCTGGATAAGAAATGGCATATTTATAAAATATATATACAATTTATTATTTGTTGGGTGGTGATCATGCTTCATCATTCTTGCTTTGATGAATACTGACTGAGTTATCACAAATTTAATTTAGCCTTACACTATTAACTATAACTCATATAGTCATTGAGGTTTTTTTTCCCTCAGTTTGAGCTTAAATACCCCAAAAATACGTTTTTGCAGCAAACCTTTAATTATAGTTAATGTTAAATATTTAGTATTTTTATTTATTGATGAGAAAGTAAACAGACAATGAATACCAAAAATCTTGAGACAAATCTGTGTTACGAGTTAAAAAACATATAAGCTATTGCTAAATTTAGCATTCAGCCACTTCCAAGTTAACATTTACATTTGGGAAACACTGATATGATACAAGAGGATTTAAAACTTCTCGAATTTAATGCTGTTTTAGAGCAAAATTGGCTAGATCTAATTCCAGCTCACATTGTATTATAGTCAATGTAAGACCTCCAGCATCTGTCTGTACCGTTCTGCAAACTTTTTTTGGCGAGGTAATGTTGATATGAAATTAACAATAACATTAATGTTAACACCACAAAGTAGTTAGTTAATTCAATCATCAAATTGCTTGTGCAAATTTGGAAATAAACTTTATACACTGCATGGACTATATATTAATGTGAAAATAACAGTGGAGCTTGAAGGGAGATCTGCACAGTTACATTGTGAGCTGGAAATGTGTTTAAGATGAGCGTTAATATCTAGAATTAATAAATGCCTATCAGTGTTTCTTAAATGTAAATGTGAATGTTGACTAGGAAGTGGCTAAATGCTAACATTAGCAATAGCTAATGGTGGCCTGTTCTGTCTCCAGATTATCAGTATTGATTGTCTGTGTACTTTTTCATCTATCGGGAAGATGAAATGAAAACATGGAACTAGTTACAATGTGTTAGTCATAATTGTTTTATTTAGCAATAGAAAGAAGTAACTGGCTGTAATTAGGTGACAAGTCAGCAGCTGGCCCTTGTGGAAAGCTTGCTTTTTGCTCCTGTACTGCTAGTTTTTTTATAGCACATTGGAGCTCAGACTGATTGACAAGTGTTGCAAGGGACTGTTGCCTTTAATGATTGAACTGAAGTAT